ATTAATAAAATATGTACTACATATGGCAACGTTGATGGAAACGATGAAGTTACATTACTTGTACATGATACAAATGCATGTATAATTCGTGTGTATGAACTGGACGCTAACGGTGAAGTGGTTTGGGAAAGGATAATTGAACCAACTGAACTTTTACAAAAAAACAAAGCAATAGTATTCAAAACACCGAAATATGGCGGACAATGGACCAATAAAAATGTTCAACAAAAGGAGTGCCTAGTCGAAGTGATATGTAACGAGGACAACACTACAACCGAACCAGTTATATTCATATATCAAAACTTATGTGTAGAATCTACGGCGAGCGCTCGAAAACGACCTCGTATAGAAACATTTGTTTATGAAAATTCGAATACAACTGCGAATAATGTGATTGAAATGCCAACCGAACCTTTATACAGGGATTCAGTACAGATACATAAAAAACAGAGAAACAGAGATAAAGCTTTTCCGTCTAGCTGTAATAGTTCATTTCCTCAAATTACCAATGCAGAAACACCTAAGAGATCTCATCAATATATTAAATTGGATTATGTTACTTTTAGTGACGATAGTGATATTAAAAATTATCTGCATAACAGTTTAACGAAGCTACTAAAAAATACACCTGATTTAATTTTAAATATTGAACAATTTAACAGTGGTAAGTGTTTATTGAAAAAAATAATAACTTTGTAAAAATGATATTAATTATATAAAATTAATTTTTATTATATAGTTTATACCGATAAACATGAATTTGGAAACACCATTTTTCACGATGCCATTGAGTACGATGAATTCTTAATACTATATAACAACAAACAGATCGAAGATATAACGCCATTGATCAGCGCAGCAGTTAATAAGCTTCAAATGTCACTACTTCACTACACATGCCTGCTCAATAAAGCCGATTACATACGATCTTTAATACGTTTAACATGCTCTATTTGTGTATTAGATGTTAATCAAAATACACCGCTACATATTGCTATAAATAAACAACATGAGAATTGTATTGTAAAATTTAGAGAACTACTACAGAGACCCGAAGATTATAATAACCTAACTGAAGATTTCCTACGACTTCTTACAATTTACGATCGGTATGGTCATACTGTACTTCATAGTGCAGTTCTAAAAAATATGCAGGAACTTGTGGTTGACATATTAAACTTTTGCAAAAGGTCGAATCTGAAAGTGGAAAATATGAAAACGTTGGGTAATGGCAACACTATCTTACATTTGGCATTTAACGAGAACTTAGAGGATATGTTCGATTTAATCCATAATCAATATCCAAATATGATAGATTGTGAAAATTATGCTGGAGTAACAACAAATGATTTGATGTTGCTAGCAGAGCAGAGCGTTAATGGTGTTATTCAAGATGTTCAGCAAATACAACTAAATACTTGTGAATAAATAGATACTTTAACTTAAATTTTATTCAAGTTTTGAAAAAAATTATAAAATGTCAAAATATTGTTGTGTAAACAGTATTAATACGTTAGATAAACGTTAGGCAACTCTTCGACCTAACAATATTTTTTTAAATTAATCTTAGACACTCGATAATTTTTAAAATTGTTTGAAATTTATATAATTTATTAACTTATTATCATTCGATTTAATATATTTTGTATTTTTGTTTCAAATTTCATATAAAAATATAATTAAAAACATTATGAAATAATAATTTAACATTAACAATCAGGTTCATTAGTCTAATTAAATTAATAATAAATCATAATAATTTTTTTTAAATTCTGTTCAATATTTTAATTTAATTATGCAATAAAATTATTTTATAATAATTAAAATTAAAGAACACCACTCGATATAACGAGAACTTAACATAGCCAAAAACAATAGTCTTAATAAATTAATAATAAATTATAATTTTTTTTAAATGCTGTTTATTATTTTAATTTAATTATAGAATAAAAATATTTTACTAATAATTAAAATTAAAGAACATTAAACACTAGCACAATATTTGCAATAAGACAAAAATGTGAAAACAATCCGGATTTGTAGATTTTCATTATTCATATATATATATTTGTGATTCATTATTCATATATATATATCGATATAGCCTAACAGTTTCAAAAGCATTTGTTAGATTTATAAAATCTACAAATCTATATATATATATATATGTGAATCTTCTACATAATACCAATGTAATTCAGTATTTGAAAACTCGTTCAAAATTGAACATTATGGAACATCTAGCAATAAACAAATAGTCTACCAAAGAACTATAACAGCAATGGGTTCCGGCATTACTTCTAAAAATATAGTACAACAAAATAGGCTGTAACCCAAACTGTTCAGGGACCTCAATAAATATGGGAAAACTGTTCCTTATAGAATAAAAAAATTAAATAAAAATAGATTATATGATATAAAAATATATGTTATATATATGATAAAAAAATCATATAATAAATAGCACTCAGAGATGCAGTTAACGCTTCATGGTATGTGCGAAATGCTCACCCACATCGTGACCTTAAAATACCTACTGTCAGGCAAGAAATACAGAACGTTGCCAATACTCATTATATCAGGCTGAATTAATTCTTAAACAGCACTATATTGGCGTTACTTTGCGATGTTTCACACAGACGCTTAAGTTACTTTAAACCAAAGGACCTTTTGAGGCGTTTAAACCAGCAAAGAGATGACTAGCTCAGATCTATATGCTCACTTTAGTTAAGTAACATTACTTGTAATATTAAATAAAAAAACCTCTTGTTAGTCAATGTTACTGGTTGTTGTTAATTAGAACTTTGCACTTTGTTAATATATAATAAAAAAAATTTCAAAATTTAATTATTTAATTTTTTATACTATATTTTAACTCTTCATATTATTTCCATATAAGGGTAAATAAACGTACTAGTTTAAAACCATTTTATAATTACAATATAAACATTGACTTATTCGTACTTCCTTTCATACATACTCATTTAAAGTAAATATATCATACATCAAAGAACGTCAACTCATGAAAGATTATGTTAGATGGTTTTAATATTTATGATTAAACAATACAGAGTGCACATAGTGTAACTAAAAGATAAAAATCACATTCTCTATAGTGTCCTAGATAAATCTTAAACGTTTTAAAACATGTGACGTAAATTAGAGAAGCAAACATGGCCCTGATGTGCTATATGAAATATTGTTTTATTATTTTTCTTAATAAAGGAATAAGTACAGAAAATACCGCATTTATCATTTCTTTTTTTGTAATAAATATTTTGCTTTACAGTATCAAGTGTATTATTTTTTTATACGAGTTGATATTTTAACAGATTAATTATCTAGTAGAGTATAGTGTCTAAGCAGCTATAAGAAAATTGAAATAGAAATCACTTGAAATTATATTTAAAGAAAACTTTTATTAAAAAGAAAAATATGAGACAAATAACTAAATCTATATATTCTATATATTCAGAATTGTAGGCACAATTGAAACCACAACGATATACATATATAAAAAGACGGAATACGTCTAATGATGCCATCATAGTTGTCAGTTGAAGGCAACACAACACATAGAAAGAAACAAGATACTTCTAATCAGTAGCATCACAGATATGCCCTGTCGATTCTCGAAACTACTCTTACTTCTCTACAATAATACTATAGAGTTGGAGATATATCCTTCAATTTATTTATTTTAATAATCTTTTTTACGTTTTTTATATAGCATAGACTACCCTAGAGACATAAACAATTTGACTAGATGACCTATTTGAGAGGATGTCTCTGTCCTCTGAGATTTAAGAAGTGAGTTTTCCATACTATTATTAATCTTGGTAACGTTGATCATGCTAGTACAAAAAGTATACATCTTATAAGCGATAATGTTTATATTACAATTAAAAATAAACAGTTTCTTAAAAACACAAACAATTATAAAACAATAATAAAAGTAATTAAGAAACCTAATGCAACTTATTAATGTTTCTTATTCTCCAAATGTTTTTAAGACATGAGACTAACTAACAAGAATTTTACTCATAACATTTTAGATATTTGAGTCTCGTCTTCAAGTAAAATAAAACATGTACCTCAGATATTTGTTTTAATTAGTGATATAACAAGAGATATAACATACACGGAGAATCATAAATACATACATACATGACATGTGTACATATTAATAATCAATGATTATTAAAATAAAACATATAATAATTCTGCTATTTTCTGATTTCAAGGAAAGGATCTACCCTCACCTCTCTTACTCATCTGGGTTATGCCTTACCGTTATTTGATATTTTGCTTAATCAGAAAATTCTTAATAATTACACTTTTGAAGTTGTAAAATACTGTTGTAAAATACTGTTAATATTAGCCATAGCAACAGCCTTTACATCAACCGAAGAAACATTGGGGCAACTATATAGGTACAACTCGTTTAAGAACTATAAATACTACTTAGCAGTATAAGCTAGCTATATTTTTATATCGATGACAACATCAGGTTACAATCACAACAGAGCAAAACCTAGTACAAGGTACTATCTTCAAGTACTTATTAACCTATAAAAAAAATATAAAGAATTTCTTTGTTTAAACGTTTATAGAGCAGAAGTTTTTAAAAAATACTATAATACGAGTAAAGCAATAAACTCTCTACTGTAATTAAAGATATCCGACAAATTATTTCTAAAATCTTTATATTAAAGTTTAGATAAGGACTACATATGCGTTATTTGAATTAAATATGAATTACAGTTCACCTTCTTGTAAGTAATAGTAAACTTACAATTGCACTTAATTTGTTATGAAATACGAGTATAAATTCAAAATAGAACGTGATGAATTAACAAAATATTAAAAACTAAAAAATCCACACTTCAAATTAAATAAATTAAAAATTGAGATTGTGTTTGATTAGTTTGTGAAATTTGTGGATAAGTAAAAAAAAAACATTTTGTATAAATTTTTATCACCTTTGTGGGAGTCCATACCTGTGGACTGTCCAAACGATCCAACGATTGCCGACGAGATGCATACTCTTCGAGTGCAATAATCTGCTGTGCAGCAGGACAATTTTTGTTTGAATGCAAGTGTTGTTGTGATGCGGTAAGTGGTTGTGGAGGCTGTGGTGGTGTTATCGAACCACACGGGCTACCCGGACATGTGCTGCCTGGACATGGACTGCTGCAACGGCTACGACAAGAAGGACTATAACAAAGTGCCGATTGTGGTGCTGATGGAGTGTTGGGACATGTGCTTGCTTGTGTTGTCGCAACGCAGGGCTCATCATCTTGTTGCACTAAATTTACAGGTAAGGGTGTGCATTGTGTATTACGACGTGGTGAACGCCCACGATCAACCGATGTTGCACTCCAATATCCCCACGCCATTTTGTATGTTATGTTTTTATCACCGTTCTTGATTAAATATTTATATAATAATTTTTCACAATTGTGGATAATTGAAATCAAATTTACGATATTACGTTTTTTTCTAATATTAGCACTTTTATGTATATATGACGAATCTAATAAAATTTGTTAGTATCTTTAATTTGATTGCATTTACAAATTGTTTATAAAATTTTGATTTTGTTTACGAGTGCACATGCATTTTTTTCTAAGAAAACATATTAAATTTTAAATATTTGTGATTATAAATTATCGCTTTTAATTTATTTTTTTTTATTCAATCATTACCATGTATAATTAATATTTATGTTTTAAAGTTTTAAGATAAGTGCATGTATATATTTATACATTTTGACGTATATATTTACATAAAAGGGAAATAAAACATATGTATCTATCAGTATACAATAAAAAACTGACGTACTGGGATCGCAATTCTAAAATTATTGTTTTTCAATAAGCAAAAGGTCTCAACATGGGTTATGTAAGGGACCAGGTTAAAAAGACGAACATAGTTCATAGCACCTTTCTGTGCAGATGATTGCTGCATGGATTGAAGATAGTATATATTATGGTCTGTATATAATATATATATTATATTATGGTCGAGAAATCGCTGCTATCATAAATCATATTTGTGCAACTAAAAACGAGGATTACTTGTCCTATAGAGAAAATGTGCTGTTCAAGTATTTCGAATATTTTCGAAATATTCAAAATATATATTTGAATTCGAATACTCGAACTGCTTGACCATTGTAATACTCAAACACTATCAAGACCCAATCATTTCTGGAATTTATTTCATGTAACACGAAATCACATTGCACATACAAATATATGGAAAATAGAAATTTCGCTGACCTTACAACGCTGTTTCGAGGATTGCCAAGTACTCATCATCAGTGGTCATAGAAAATAATCGAATTTCGTAATTAGTATACAGTCCGTAAATAATTGGTTTGGACTGCAAGTGCCAGGCTTAAAACTTGTGCCTGTCAAATTAGAAGCGATGACTAATTGTATTTTTCTACAAGTTGCCAAGGCTTCAGTGGTCAAGTTCCAGGTTTTTTTGTCATTATTTTATTTAATTAGTGACGCTAACGAAATCAATTGCCGTGCTTTAAATTAGAACGAGCTTTTAAACTACAGCTTTATTTGGAAACACAAGTTAAACGAATAGAAAGTTAAGTTTTGAGGTAGCCTATTTTTATTTTTATTATTCGAAAATCTTTATATTAAAAAAAAATTTTCAATTTTTTTTTTAATCTTTTTCATTATAAGAAAGCGTAGCTTTATCGGCAAAACTAATCAAACTTTTAAATAATAAATATTTATTATATTCATTAATTCATTAAATAAATTTTTCTTCGTTTTATAAGAGAACAAAAATTTATATAAACAAACAGACATATAATATAAAGGTGTAAATAAATTATATACTATAAATATATATTATAATTATGTATTATAAATTATATTATAAATTATATTATAAAATATAATATAGCATGCTATATCATATATCGTACAATATATATTACATATATAACATATAGTATACACTAAAACAAAAATAATAAATTATATATATAAAACATGTTAATTACTTTTTACTCCTAAAACTTAAACATAATGTACTTTTCATAATTAAAATAACTACACTTCAATTTACATAATTATATTTAATAGTTAAATAATTTCTGTTAAAAAGTACCACACTTTTATCCTTTCAAACTCATAATGCACTTTATCAAAGGAGTTAGCACAAAAACGGAAATGAACCACTTATGTTTTCACCTTCGGTTGCAACTGTTACCCCATTTATCGATTTAAGCAGAAATACCAAAACAAACAAACGAGCAAAAAGGACATCTAAAGCAGTCATAAAACTTCTTAAATGAGTTAAATAACTGCAGTAGATGGGTTAAGGTAAATTGGCCGACATAGCCTTGATGGAGACGTATTTTACTATTATCGCGTTTGCATAGGTAAATTGCGTGAACAAAAGGATTACATAAAAGGACGGGCAATACAGCAATTTTTAATCAAATGGGTAAAAAGTGAAAAAAAAACCTAAAATCAATACTGCAATCGTAGGGACGTTAAATTCATTTGAATTTGATTAAATTTCTATTTTAATTTAATAAATTAAAATTTATTTTTTAAAAAATAAAAGAACTCTAATTAGATACACAATCATTAAAACTTATACATAATATTTTTTAATTATTAGGAATAAATAATGATTTCCGCTTTATAATAATTTTTTTTCTAAAGTAGATATAAGGAAATGACTAACTTAAAGCGAACAGAAATTTTTGGTATTATTATTATTTATATATGCATTTGATATATTAGGTATTGTGTTAAATGTTTTTACAATTAACAAAAAAAAACTAAGAATATTATTTTAACAACTTGTATAATCATTATCAACTATATATGACTAATATAAGCTATAAAAAGCACACAGACATTTCAGCGGTATATCTTAAAACATTTTCGAAACATAAAACATTTTAAGATAGCACATTCTTAACTCACTCTAAGATAAAAACGAAAAACTTCTACTATAACATATATCAAATTCTGTAAGTTAAAAAATATAGACATCAAGACATGAGGCTATATAAAGGGCACAGAAAATGGGTATACTACAAGCATAGTAGTAAAAGGCTAATAAAGGGCCCTTTAGTAAAGCTCCGCTGAAACTAAAGGGCATAATTTCAGCGGTTTAAGCAACTATTTAAAAACAGAAACCATTTACAATATAACATTCTTAGGTCACTATAAGATAGATACAAAAGAGTACTACTATATCACATGACTTTTGATTAATAAAGTTATTCGTAAAATATCAAAAATACATCGTCAAATTGTTTTATTAAAATTTTTGGGAAATTTAAATAATATCAAAAAGATTTTTATTTATTTTATATATAAATTTACATGAATCTATCATGATACATGATCATGTATATATGATGATGTATACATGATAAACATGTATCTGCAGATATAATAGTAGAATTTTGATCTTTAAAAACATAGAAGTACCTAAAACAGTAAAGTATATTTCTTCAACTGCAATTGGATGTGATGATAAACTCGGTTTACAATTATTTTCTGTAATACCTAAATGCATAAAGAAAGAGTGATTAATTAATTCGGACTAATTGCAGTTGTCCATGACTGACTTGAAATGATCTCTGAATTACCATTACCCAGGTGCACAATAGATCAAGCTGGTCAAAGCTATAACCCAATATCCATAAATACGATAACAGTATGTAATGAATTCTATAAACTATTATATTTCCTTCCGTGAGAGTATAGTATAAAAATGTCACTAGTTCCAATACTTATAATGCTGGTTGTTGCTAGTTGCCCTATTACCTAGGTATTATATGTGACTAGAAATTAAAATTAAATTTTTAATTCCATTCTCTTTATATATAATATATCACTACTTATAATGCTGGTGTTTTAGGTATGATATGTATTATATGTGACTATAAATTAAAATTACATCTTTAATTCCATTCTCTTTATATATAATATATCACTATATGAATCAAAATCAGTATTCGGCCTCCTATTTTCATAATTTTATTCAGTGGTTAATTGTGGTACAAAAAACAAACAAAGTTGTATTAAAATAAAATTTTATTGGTAAAAATCAATGTTTTTAATAAATTTGTTAACTAAAAGTTTAAAATTCAAAAACACACTTTTAAATCAAGTTCATATAAAACTGCAGTGAAATATTCATGAGATATATATACAAACGAATATATATATAATGTATATATATATAAATGTATATATCTATATATATATATGTATATTTATTTAATATTTCAATAATTTTTTATTTATTTATATATCACAAGCCAGTTAAATATATTAAATATTTTTTAACACTCAAAGGTTAGTTGCATAAATAGTATTTAATTAATGCACTTGAATAATTTTAATCAACTATCTATTTCACTTTTTATTTTAAATCACATAATTAATAAGATTGATACACATTTTTAAGAGAATTAAATTTTTCAATTAATTAATTGCTAATTGGTCCGTAAAAAATTTTTTTTTTACAAAAAACCACACCTATAATAATTGTGTAATTTTCCTAGGTAGGCGATTGTAACAGCACCACTATTATTAAGACCAGCAACATCAGTAGCGGTGTCAGCAGCTGACTCTGCGAAACTCACTCGATAGCAGCACTGACGAACGATGCTAAACCGAGCTAAAGTCGCCGAAGCACCGAACACAGAACAATTCTAATAAACCTTAGTTTTTTTACTTCTCTAACATTTCACACAGCCACCTATCTTAACAATTTAGCTGACTGCCTATCACTCGATTAACGAAATTCAAGCGAGCGCACAACAAACTGCACTTTTCTTACAAAATACAATGTTAATAACGTGACCTGAACAACATTTGCGATGTTCTGAAAGAGCCAACGACAACAGCAAGAGTTGACGACAGGACACAAGTCAATATATAGTGATTTGGTCTCAAATTTCTCAATGTCAAATAAATTCTGTCGGCCAGTGCTTTTCTCTCAAAAAATAATGAGTAACTTTTTGTATAAGAGTTACATTTATTTTCTCAAATTTAAAGATAATTGGAGAGAATTAAGAAATTTGAGATAAATGTTAAATTTTTATAATGTTAAAGGATTAGGTTTTAAAATCCTTAAACAGATAAACCATAACAATCTTAAATGAAAACATGTCAATGTCAATATACACTTAAATAAATATATATTAAAGGAATTAACGAAAAATGTTTACAATCTCAACTGTTCCTTGAATATAATAATGATAAATAAAAATATATAATAATAATATATAATAATATATATAAAAAAAATAATAATGAAAAATAATATATAATAATATGTGATGCTATATCTATACCTATAACAGAGGGGGAGGAAGTCTTAAACACAGGGATTAAATATAGTCGTTCTCCGTTATATTTGTGTATAGTTTATTCA